ATGCTTTTAAGGAGAATCTCTTGGAATTACCTTGCAACTCTCCTTAGAATTCCCTTGGAAGTTTCTTCAGAATCTCCTGAAACACTACTCAGAGTTCCTTTGGAAATATGTTCAAAATTTCTATCCAACTCATCACAAACTTTTTGATATTTCTTCAAAATTCTTATAAATTCTTTCAGGAATTCACTTGTAATTATCTTCAAACTAGCTGAACATTCTGCAGAGATTGTTTAAATTATAGTATTAATTAAATTCAATTTGTTTTTCTGTTACTTCATACGCGAAGTTTGCGATTTTCAGAGTTGGTTTGATATACTATCTAAAATGAAGCTTTAGTGTGATAATTTATTAGCTTGAGAATGGTCTTATAAGAGGGTAGGTAGATAGTTCCGTTAGAGTACGGCAGTATGAAGATTGAATAGAAGTTGAAAATGAGCGAAGGGCCATTGATGCGACAGTGCAAGTCCAACGCACACTCTTTGCCTAACCTGTACGATGTACGCGGAGATTTGAAGTATGTCTTCAAATCTACAGGCAAAAAGTGTGACTTTGTTCAAATACTGCCTGTGGCTGTGGAATAGCTGTGAATTGTAGTCATACCATCATTAAGTTTGCCACGTGATTAATACACTTTGAATCCCCTTCCGAATTCCCATGGAATGCTTCTTAATATTACTTCCGATTTGCTTTTGAGTTAACTTTGAATACTACTCATCATCCCCATAATAGTCTCTTCAGAACTGCCTTCCTTAGAATGCACCTTCCATACAATTTTCTAGAAATATTTCTCAAAATTATCTGTAATTTCTATTTAAATTCCATTGGAAATTCTTCCAAGAATTCCTCTACGATTCAGCTCACACCTCATTTGGCATTTTCATCGAAACTTTCTAGACAGTGCTTCGAAGTGTCAGAATCCAAATTTTGTTTATCTCAGATCCTTAGATTACACCATACTTGCAGTCAAAAATATTGCAAAGCCATGCATATCAAAGTCTGGAACGCGCAAAAATTGATCAACTTCGAATGCTGAAATGCTGCATTTGGAAGTTGAGTGCATATACAATGGTTGCTATGATGAGTTTTCACCGTTTGCTCTCCAGTTTTCAAAATGACGTCCAAGCAAGAGGAGCAGCGTGTCAAAATTTTGCTTGCGCAGCAAGAGAATCCGACGTTTTCACACGCCAAGTTGACAAAATTGCTGGATGTGGCCAAATTGAGCGTGACAAACGTTTTAAAAGTGTTCGGAGAGCGTCAGTCGACCGCCAGTAATCCGGACGTGGAAGCGACGACGAAAAAGGGGGCGGTGAAATACAAGCGGAATCCTAACCTCTCCATCCGGGACGTCGCTGGTAAGCTCAATGTCTTCCATACTACTGTGCAGCGGGCCAAGAAACGAGCCGGGTTGTCGACGTTTAAGAAGGTGAAGGTGGCAAAGCAGCGGTCCCGAAAGCTGTATACGAATCTGCTCACAAAGTTCGACTGTGTCGTCATGGGCGACGAAACTTATGTGAAGGCGGATTTCAAGCAGCTTCCGGGACAGGAGTTTCATACCGGATCAGGAAAAGGAAAGGTGGCTGAAATTTTCAAAACCATCAAACTATCGAAGCTCCTGAAAAAATATCTCGTCTGGCAGGCCATATGCACGTGTGGTCTAAAAAGCGGCATTTTCATTACTACGGGAACCATCAATCAAGAGATCTACGTCCAGGAGTGCCTGGTAAAGCGGCTGCTACCATTCCTAAAGCAACATAATAGACCTTTGCGAACAACGTGCGCCCAGAACTCCGCCCTATCAAACGGTATTGGGCCTTGTTCAAACGGAATCTAAAAAAAAAAACAAACTAATAAATCCATGGAAAACGAGCAGCAGCTTAAATCTAACTGGCGTTCGGCGGCGAATAAGGTCGATGAGACCACTGTGCAAAATTTAATGGAAGGTGTTAAGCGGAAGGGTCGGCAGTTTGGATTTGGCAAATCAAAAGAATAAACGAACATTTTTCCTTTAAATATATGAAGATTTTTGTGAAATGAATTTTGACTGAAAGAAACGATTATTTGGTCGACCATTTTTTGCGCGTTCCAGTCTTTACATTGATAGGGAAAATAAAGTGCTCACCTCATAATTTTTTGAACTTCTCTCATTTATTTGATTCAAATTAAAGTAAACACACTGTAGTCTGATTTTATATCTTATTTGTTATATTTTTTAAAAATGTTCACTTATGGAATACTGAAAAACAAAAGAATTTTATTTAAAGATAAAAATTCAATTTGTATTCAAAAAAATAACAGTGTCGACAAGATTTCTTCGGAAAACCCCTCGATTGTTTATGGTTTGTTTGTTTTACATGTTTTGAAGCAAACGGCTCGACCAAGTGCATTTGTACACGTGATCGCATTTGATTCAGTTGAAAAAAAAAATGGAAAACGCAGTGATTTCAAAAGCAATTCCCTTGTGTATTCGAAAATTGGTGGAAGTGCAAAACGGTGAATCGCACCGGGCTGTCGCTAGGAAGAACAGTAAGGCAGCGGTTTGGAAAATTCTTCTGAAACTAAAAAAGGTGCACTCTGACAGAGGCAGGAAGCCCAGAACGGATGCGAGAACGGACACCAAGATCATGCGCGAAGTCAAGAAGAACCCAAAGGTAACTGTTCGCTAGATTCAGGAAACCCTCCAGCTATCAGTTTCCGGTCGAACTGTTCGTCGTCGTCTCGGGGGTTGAATAGCAAAGTTGCCCGGAACCGACCACTTATCAGCAAGGCAAGCAAAGCCAAACGGCTTAAGTTTGCTAAGGAGCATGCTGATAAACCACTAGAGTTCTGGAAAACGGTTCGCTGGACGGACGAAACAAAGTTCGAGCTGTTTAATCGAAAGCGGCGGGTTCGTGTGCCGATCGGGTGAGGAGCTTCAAGAAGGACACATACAAGGCACGGTGAAGCATGGTGGAGGAAATGTGATGGTCTGGGGCAGTTTTTCGTGAAAATCGACGGGATAATGATGGCAGATTCCAAAATCAACAACATGCGCGAAAATCTGGAGGTTTCACTGATCCAGATGGTCGTTAAAGAGAAAATCGTATTTCAGCAGGACAACGACCCAAAGTATACTGCCAAGAAGACCAAGTCTTTCTTCCGGTCTTGTCGGATCAAACCGCTGGTATGGCCTCCACAATGCCGGGGTTGACAAAACTGGTGTTACCAATAAAATGAGCTATTTCGAAGCCCTGAAGCGGGCTTGGGAAAAAGCAAGATCCACAGCACCCAAAGAACCTGGTGGAGAGCATGCCAAAGTGCCTGCATTAGGTACTGAAGGCCAAAAGGCAACACATCAATTATTAAAATAATCTTTAACTCTAATATATCTTTTAAAGAGCCAAAATTAAGTAGACACTTTTGTCACTGTTTTTTTCAAAACAATTTTTTTTATATTCCATGAGTGAAAATTTAAACAATGTAAAAAATAAGAAATCAAAACAGATTACAGTGTGTTTACTTTAATTTGACCCAAATAAATGAGAGAAATTCAAAAAATTATGAGGTGGGCACTTTGTAATGCCTATCAGTGTAGTTGATATCCATGGATTTTCAATATGATATCAATAAAGTAATCGTGATGTATTTCAGTCCTGTAAAAATGAAAAGGTTTACTCAACATTATTCTGAAGATTAGAATCACTTCTTCAGAGAGTTTCAATTATTTTCATAAATAAGACGAATGAAAAGATTTAACCTTCATATAAGATGTTTGCGTATAGCAAAAAAGTAAATGAAAGTAGCAAGCCAATCATCAGCCGTGAATGCGCAATCATTTAAGACATTTAATGATGGGGCAGAGTTTATTTTAGATAATCTGAAAATATATCGCAATTCCGGTATTTGTTTATTAGATTATCTTGGACAATGGATCTGTCCACATAAAACCAAAATTGTTACTTGGGAGTGTGGTGTTGCAAAAATCTAAATTTCTCTTCTTCCTCGCATTTAAAGTTTATTACTTGTCACATATTAGCTTATTGCGTGCTCTCAACTTAGTGCTCTATGCACTTTCACAGTTATTAATTGAGAGCTTTTGGTGCCTGTACCATTTCTGCATTAGTATAATTGTGTTGCAATTACAATCATACTCTATACCCAGGGAAGTCGAGAAATATTTCAACCCGAAAAAATACTTGGCCCGGACCGGGAAAAGAATTCAGCCACCTCCAGTATATGGTCTTGCTTTGTAGCAAAATCGAAATTAATCGCGTCAAATAAATGTTCGATTGTTGAAACAAAATCTTACGAGTCAAACCACATATTAAAAATTTCTTATTAAGAAAAAAAAACCAACTAAGGTAATCAAACTGTGACCATTGAAAAATAAATTCAAATTTTGAGAGGTTATGAGTGTAAACATTCCATGGGGATACCGATTTCAAAAAGATGACTTGAATTGTCAATATTTCTGGAAAAGAATAACAACCGATTCTCACACACTGTTTCCGATAAGTCCTCTTGAGTGTTTTCCAAGTTGTTCCTCAACATGACGTATAGCAATAGATTTCTAAATCAAACATCATTTTAAAACATCTTCATCTGCAATGAATCCAAATTCAAATCAACTCACTTCCAGCCACATTCCCAACAGTCCGTAAATTTCACCGAACAAGATTCCCTCCCGATAGTGTCACCAAATTCAACTCCTTCGCATCCATTCCAAACCCAGACAACGAAATCATTAAAGTCCCTCGCATCACAATCCTCGCATTGGCATTCGCGGAGAAAGTTCAAAATTAAAGCCACCCAGCAGCCCTCCGGAGGGCACGTTCAGCATCCACAATCGCAAGCAGCCAGTGTCGTTTGCCACCCACCCACCAACCCACCCATCTGCCCAGCTTAGGAAAAATCGATTCTTCAACGCACTCTTCTGGGCTCCGAGAGACTTCACTTTAAAGCCGCCGCCGCGAATGAACGGAACAAAAAAAAAATCGCGAATAGGCGCGAACCTCTCTGCTTACCTTGTGCGATCCGAACAGCTGGCATTTTAATTCTCATTTTGGCAGGATTGTTGTTTTTTCACTTTGCTGTTTGAGTGGACGGCGGCAGGCAGCGGCACGTCGTCGTCGTCCTTTTTTGTATTTTTCCTTCGTCGTTTGTTTTTTTTTTTTATTTTATTCGCACTGCACACAGACACCACACCACACCAAGGATCGTCACCGTTTACTACAGATTGCGTTTTTTTTTTGTTACTCGCACTGTTTCCGCGTAAAGCAGCTGATTTTCCGCGATTTTCCACGCGATTGTAAATGGGAAAAAGAAAAAAAAAAAACACTGGTGCCGCACTTTTTTCTTGTTTGAATAAAAAATAAAGGAACACTCTCTTTCCGGTCTCACTTCGGTTAATAGTATTCGTGAGGCGACTCTTCACAATTAGCACCGATGGGTGGTTTTTTTTTCTTGGAAATTTTTTATCTCCGAATCATCCCTGGTAGGTTCGTTCGTTCACTCAATTAACTTCCACCGAGCGCGAGGGGGTTTTTCATTCAAGGATTCTTCCGTTTTTTTTTCGTATTGCACTGACAAAGAAGATAGACAGTTGAAAATTTCCCCTCGTCGCTTTCACACGCAAACAATCACGCCGCGTTTTTTTTTGGTTTTGCTCCTTTCACACACTTTGTTGCTTCTTGTTGTCTTCCGGATGTTCTGACTGGATCACTTCTGTATATATATTTTTTTTTGGTTGGGCTCTGCCAGCGAGACAGCGACAAGTATCCTCTCGAAGTAAGGATTCACTGAGCCACACTTGGGCGCAGAGTTTCACCTCGCATACAAACGCATCCTTTTTTTTGCTGCACTTGTTTTTGTTTTTGTTTGATGGATTTTTCTAACAGCAAGGGTTCAGGAATTTTTGGCGTTCCGATATTCCGATTGAGCACTGAAGCACAGCGATTTGATTTCCGTTTCAACGAGATTGTATACAATTGAGCTAGATCACTAGTAGTTTTGATTGATTGTTGGAACCGAATCAAGTCCGGGGTCAACAGTCGCGTTCACTGGACCCAGGCTCGCCGCAGGAATGAAGACGCACCGAGCGTTCGCGCGAAGTAGCCGATTCGTAGCAGCGCAAAAAAGTCAAGCACTTCCCACTATGACATCCTCACTTCGCGACAGTCCGTTTGCATCTAATGTGCTAGGTCCGACCAAAAACGTTATATCATACCGTCGTGTCATGGCTCTGCTGGCTGGTTGGCGCGCGCGATGACTCCTCTCGACTCGAAGACAACACCACCAACAGCAACAACAGCACCGACCATAGCAAACGGAGAGCGCACGTCTTGGAGTATCCAACCGGCCACACTCCCGGCCCGACCCGTCCTCGCTCTCTTTCTCTGTCTCTCACTCACTTCTGGCCAAGATCCACGCCGTTGTCTTCTAGTAGTACACACAACACGATCATCAACCAAAACAGCACATCTCTTCTGCTTGTGTTTCTTCCGACGTTACCGCCGACGCCGCCACTGCTGCTGCTGCTGCTAACTGACGATGATGACGACGACGACGACGACGACGACGACGATGACGATGAGGCGAACGTGAGCATAAAACAACTAAGACTAAACACTAGTGCCAGAACATAGAAGGCCCTCGTCGTGCTCAGCCGAGGCTGGTGCTTCACAATCTCCGCACACCCAAACTCCCACCCACCCAAAACGAGTCGACCGGCGGCGCAGCACCTCTTTCCACCGAAACCCAACCCGAGAGCGGGAGAATCGTTGTTGTGGACTTGGTTATCTCTCCACAGATCGTTCACTTCGTCCCACGCGCTACTCTCACTACTCGCTTCTCCACCACCCTCCGCAACCCACTGACGAGATTTATGTGTGACCACCGCCAGGATCTGTCCACCGCAAACTCACACACTCACTACACTGAGGCTATCCTATTCCACGTCCGAATCGTGCTGTTCCCGTCCGGATAATGCTCTATGTACCAACAATTTTCCGAACCCACACACGACGCCCGTCCGTCAGTCGGTCCGTCACACACATGTGTGGGCATCTATCTCGCTTGCACTCGTCGCTCATATGTGAACAAGGACCATCATCAACCCAAAACCAAAACACGGTCGCGCGCGTCCTTTCTCTGCTCTCCCCTCCTCAAAACCAAACAACTCAAAGCACTCTGCGAATTTCCATACGCGACTACTTCTTCGACAACGACCACAGTCACAACTCGCCTCAACACACTCACTTTGCTCTCTCCCTGTAGGTACCGAGTCCAGCAGCGTCCTACTCGCGTTTTACATACGATTAGTCGCGTTCCTCCCCTTCGCAGCCAAAGAAAAAAGAGCACTCTTGACGAGGGTGGGTGGCTGCGGCGCTGGCGGTAACGTCACACACATGCTTAGAAGGTCCAGTCTAACTACACTAATGCTTATTCTTCATGAGAGAACGACTCTCGCGAGTATGCTCCGCAACGCTCTCCTCGATCGAAGCATGCTGTTGAGTAGTGTGTTTTGTTTTTGTTTTGATTCTCTCGCTCTCTCCGGTCTCGGTTTCGGAGATTGTATGTTTTGGTTTCCCCAACCTGACCACCCAATACCACCCACTCGACCTGCCGCATGCTGCCCTCCCCATCACCATTGGCACCATTGGCACCATTGGTGGTAGTAGTGTAGGTTCGGACAGGTATCTTCGCTTGGACAGTAGCGTACAACGTTTCTTTGGTGATTGTAGGCCGGGGAAATTGGGATTCTGTTGAGTACAAAATCAAATTCGCTTCTTTGGATGGCAACGATACTTTCGAACGTGATCACACACACCACTTTCTTATGGAATTTAGGATTTTTTTTTAAAGTAGGGGAAATGGCTCTAATGTTGGCCCTATGGATCTAAGATTGGGCCAATCGCTAAAAATCTGCTATTTATCAATTCTATCTAGATGAACGCGTCATTGGGACGGTACTAATGGATATTTTTGGTTGCTATTGAAAATTTAGTCGATTGCTAAATTTATGTATGGGCCCAAATTAGGGACACTTAGGCCGACATTACATACATTTCCCCTATAATGAACTAAAAAAAATGTGCAAACTGTGTCGTTCATTTTACATTTCAAGATATAACGTTCAAAGTTCATACGCAAAGTTAGCGATTTTCAGAGTTGGTTGGAAATGCCAGGCCTGTAGACTTGGAGACATAAAACTTCAAATCTCCGCGTACATCGTACGGGTTAGGCCAAAATGTGCGTCTATCTTTAAAAACTGTCGCATTAATGGCCCTTCGCTCATTTTCAACTTCTATTCAATTTTCATACTGCCGTACTCTAACGGAACTATCCACCTACTATCTTCTAAAAGATCATTCTCTAGCTAATAAATTATCACACTAAAGCTTCATGTTAACATTTCCAACCAACTCCCAAGATATAACGGATTGAGAAAATCATTTTTCAGGATATGTAATAAACAAGAATTACATTTTTTTAAGTAAACGGTTCTATAGGGTAGAGCACTACTTCGGCCCAATCGTCTGATAATCAACTCGATACTGAATAGCAACTCTCGGCTGCTTGATCTCGTTCTGGCGAACGAAGCTGCAGGACACGAATGTTCTATCCTAGAAGCCCCAGAGCCTTTGATTGGCATCGACACCAATCATCCTGCGTTGGAAGTTTCCATCAACCTATCTGTTCCTGTTCGCTACGATAACCCCCCTGTTGATGTACATGAGCTCGACTTTCGTAGAGCAGATTTCGTCGCGCTGAGTCACTCGCTTGCCCAGGAAGATTGGCAGTTCCTTGACACGTGTTCATCTATTGATGAAGCCGTCAACTACTTCGCTGAGGTCGTTGGCCGGGCAATAACTGATTCTGTCCCATTGAGGAGACCTTCTCCCAAACACGCATGGTCCAATGCTCGACTACGGAATTTGAAGCGTCTGAGATCGAAGGCCCTCCGTAAATACTGTCGTACTCGTAACCCATTCACCAAACGATTATTTTCAACAGCGAGCAACGAATATCGCCCATATAACCGCATTCTTTACAAGAGCTACACAAGGCGTGTGCAGGCTAATTGACGGCTTAATCCAAAGCAGTTCTGGTCATTCGTGAATACCAAACGAAACGAGGAGGGGCTACCAGTCGAAATTCACCTGGGTGTTAGAATCGCCAGCAATTCCCTTGAGAAATGTAATCTTCTGGCAGAACATTTCAGAAGCATTTTCAATGACACTACGGCTTCGTTGTCCCAAGTTACTGAAGCGGTGAGGGACTCTCCCAGTTCCCAGTGATGCTTTTAATTTTTCGATTACCTCGGTTACAGTAGACCTCGTCGAATCCGCCATCAAGAAGCTGAAATTTTCTAATGCTGCTGGCCCTGACGGGATCCCCTCAAGCAACCTGAAGCGATGCTGTTCAGAGCTTGCAACACCGCTTTCGAAGCTGTTCAATATTTCATCACAGCAGGGGGAGTTCCCTACGCGTTGGAAATCGCCATTCATGTTCCCGATCTACAAGAAAGGAGACAAGAGTTCGACGGGCTATGGTGACCAATGGGCGACGATGAGACTCATCGAGACGAGGCACAAGACAATAAAGAGAGACAAAAGACAAACGAATTAAATTCTTATATTTGACAGTGGTTTGTTTACACTTATAGAGAACAACTGGTGCAAGTTTGATCAAAGTGGTCGATGGCATTCAGAAATAACGTCAAATGGAACTCGAAAGAAAACAAAATATTGGGCACAAACACCTGGAAAATTCGGAGTGGTCCGGTTCCAAGTTGGCTAAAGTGCTGACGATGCCGTTTTCAACAGTTTGTCGAGTGCTCAAAACCTGCAAGGAAACCCTGAGTGTGGAAAGGAATCAACGCACCTACATAAAAACTGGAACCCGGTATCGTCAGCTGCGTTAAAGCCAACTCCGGTTTTTCGATCCGAGATGTGGCCAGAAGGTACAACGCCAACTTTCAAACGGTGCGGAACATCCTTGCCAGGGAAGGATACGAGTCGTACAGAACCAGTTAACATCCGAACTGGCACATGAAGCAGAATTCTGTGGCCAAAAAGCGTACAACACTCTTGTACGACCATGTTTTGACGAAGTACAAGGGCTGCACTTTGATCGATGACGAAACATACGTCTAACTCGATTTTAAGCAGCTTCCCGTTTAAAAGTTTTGCATCGTGACTGGATGTAGGGATGTGCCGGGTAGTTTACAGTTTTTGTCTGAAAACGGAACTATTTGTCACATCCTCGAGGATGACATCCCAAGTTCACATCGAAGAATGCCTGAACAAGCGTGTATTGCCGTTCATTCGCAAGCATAGGGGCAAAGTCATCTTTTGGCTCGATTTGGCCAGCTGCCACTACTCTAAGGTGATTTACCAATAATCAAGTTAAGCTGATTAAAAGCTGAATAAGCCATTTTGTAGCTGAAGAAGATTTTATTTGCCTAAATAAGCTCTTTTTCAGCTTTCAATGTTTTTTGGGGTTATTGATCTTTTCAGAGAAAACAAAAATCAAGAAATTTTCATAATTTTAGATTTTTAGGCGCCCATCCCTCAAATACCCATAGACGAAGTGTATCCCAGATAAGTAAACTATCCTTCAAATGGTTTGGATGTTACCCCGAACACGTCATTAAGCTCTCTTTTATGGTTATTTGTATTAGGGATGATCTTGCCGTATTATTGCTCTAACGAAAATCAACACTGCGGTGGTCATCAAACAACTTGATAATTCCATGAATTGAAAGGACTTCCCAACAAACAATTTTAGCTGCAGCTTAGCTTATACAGGCAAAAATTAGCTGCATAAGGCAAATTTTAGCTGTATAAGCTAATCTGCAGCTATAATTGTTTGTTGGGTTACTTTTTGGTAAGCCTTAATAACTCATAATAGTCCGGGATAAACTTTTTATTTTCTTAAATTTATCGTTTAAATTGAATTTTTCTACGGTGGCCATATGGCTCTATGGTTGTTGTTTTGAGTGCTCTTGGTCATATTTCATCGAGCAGATGTGATTTGATATATCGCATGATATGATTATGAGCGATAATAAATTTGACCATATAGATCCATAACAGAATATAAAATATCCGGAACCGATTCCAAGGTAGGCATGGGGTCTCATGATTGTTCTCTATCATTTTGAAAATAAAAAGTTTGTCCCGGGCTTTTACGGGTTGATGAATATCACACTATTCACTCTTGCGTTTTATAACTATGGGCCGTAATTTTGAGCCGTGTGCTTAATTATGACCTACGAACTTTATGTGATGACTTTGTTTTGGTATTGGTGAAACCATTTGCGTTGACGACGACTGTGCAACTGTTGACTCCTATACGAAACCCCATAAGCAAATGTCGAATTTTTTGAAACATAGCGGATCGTTTCTTATCCTTTCACTCTTCTGATAAATCGCGAAGGAAAAACGTCAATTTTTGCGGAGAAAATCTTCGGCGGAGAAAACCGAGCATTGTGGCGTCCGTGTACATGTCGGCATGGGTTGGG